ACTAGAGCTTCTATTTCAGATTGCATTGCCTTCTTCCAAGCTTCATGTTTAACTGCTTCATTATAGGATTGAGGCTCATGTGTGGAGATGATGGATGAAGCACATGCCCTATGGCCAGGGGGAAACATTCATAGTATATAACCTTGCTGATATGATATGGGGAGGTTCTGACATGAGACTTGCTTACTGAGTGACAGTGGTAATCCTGCAGTCTGGCAGGAACATATTTAGTCCTTTCTGACCTCCTAGAGGTTGAATAGAATTTTCATCCACTGCATCTTCAATTCTTCTGGAATTAGGTCATTATGTATTCCATAATCCACTTCATCACCTGTCCTAGCACCATCTGCCATGGTTTCAGCATTGTCAATGTTATCATTGTTCTGCAAAGGTGTGATATCTATCTCAGTAGAGATAGGGACTAAAGGCAGTGTAGGGTTGAACATCTCAATTTCAGGTGCCCTTGGAATATCTGTTGAGTGGCTTTCTTTAAGGGGTTATACTTGTTCATAAAATTGGACATCTCTGGAAACAAACACCTCTTTGTTAGCCAAATCACATAGAATGTAGCCTTTTATATTTGTAGGGATTCCCAAAAAAATGCACTTCTTGGCTCTAGGCTGCATTTTATTTCTCCCTTGTGAGATAGTAGACCCATAACATAGGCATCCAAAAGCCTTAAGCTTATCATAATTCACATTTTTCCCAAATAACATCTCAAATGGAGTTTTGTCACCAGCTGTGGCAGTAGGCAGTCTGTTGATCAAATAAGAAGCATGCAAGACACAATGACCCCAATATTCCATTGGCAAACTAGATTGGAATCTAAGAGCCCTAGCTACATTTAGAATGTGTTGATGTTTTCTTTCTGCAATACCATTCTGCTGAGGGGTATATACACAGAATCTTTGATGTACAATCCCTTTGTCATTGCAAAAGCTATTCATCATAAATTCACTCCCATTGTCTGTCATTATGACTTTGATCTTTGTGGCAAACTGAGTGTCAACATAGCTATAAAAGTTCTGAAATAGGGACTTCTGATCACCTCTGATTTGTTCTTCATTAGATGTAACCATGTAAACCTACTATGATCATCAATTATTGTCAAAAAGTAGTGTTCTCCTTTTATATATAGATGCAACAGCCAGGGGCCCCAAACATCCATATGTATTAAGTCAAAACAATTTGCAGCTCTAGAAATACTAACATGGATAGTAGATATTTTGTGCTTAGCAAAATGGCATGCATCACAAACAAACTCAGAGGATTTGCAGAATTATAAATCTTTTATTTCATTCAAGAGATGTATCTTATTCACAGGGTAATACCCTAGCCTACAATGCTACAATTCTAAAGATAGACTATTACAATCAATAGTCCTATCAATCTAAGCGTGTTTTCTTCTAGTAGGGGGATGAGTGATCAAGTACAAACCATTCCTTTCTTTAGCAAAATCATCCACTATCCCATGAGGACACTGAATGGTGTAAGAATCAGTATTCATGATGATTTCACATGATCCTTGTTTTGTCAACTAGCTAGCAGAAACAATATTAAATGTGAATGAGGGGATGTGTAACACATTGCTTAACAACAGACTTAAGTGCAGTCTAATATTCCCTACATGTGTGACACTCACATTCTCTCCATTGGGTAGTTTAACAGATATTCCAATTACTTTGTGATATGTGGCATCTGAATCCAAAATTCATATAGCATCTACTGCACAGTTAATATGAAGGTTAGAAATGAACTTGCCATCATTGGACACCAATTTGAGATTTGGCTCAAAAGATACATTTTATTCTTGGAATCCAAAGAGGTATATCATATCACATAACTTACTATAGTTGATCCAAATAACCAAGTAAGCTTAGTAAAACAATTAATAAAGGTGGTAAATTTTGGGAAGTAACTTAATACATGTTTTGCCAATTGCAAACCATGAAACTTAGAATTATAATTGAACTAAATTTATAAATTCTAAGAAATTGTGATAAAATTATTATCTAGTAGGTTGAGAGATTTACTGACATCAAACTTGCCAGTAGGCTAAATTTTTAATTCTAAATAAATCCAATTAAACCCTTATGATAATATTTTAACTCAATTACTAAATGGACAGAAGATCCTAGTGACACAAAACTTGCATTTGGGCTAAAGTTTTACTCAATTAGATCCAACTGAAATTTTATGATGAAACAATTATCAAATGAGTTGAAGAATCAAGTGACATAAAACTTGCATGTGGGATAAAATTTTACTCAATAAGATTCATTACAACTATTATGATAAAACTTAAAAATCATGTTCCTTTTCTTAATCCCTGTGGGTAAATTAAGAAATATGACCTAAAGTTTACATCAGAAAATTAAACCTTATGATAGTGATCGAAATTATTTACAAATAACCATAAAGTAAATAAAATTGATTTATTTATATCATCACTTACAAAACTACTAAACTACATTCCGATACATAATTGCCTGTGGGCTAAATTATGATCATTAGATCATTGTTCAGTATTTCATCCTAATTAATCATACAAATATAACGAAATTGCATGTGGGCTAAATTCCATCATATTACATACAATTATTCACAACTTATATGGCTAAAACTTTATGTGACCCAACAACTCAATATATAATTTTTATTGATTAAGGATGTTGTGACTACTCCCCAACTAATTAAAATTATAGGATCACTAGACAATTATCATTGCCATCATGTAATTTAAACTTTAGACAATTTTAGTAAATTAAAGATGATGTGGCTACTCTTTAATCAATCTAAAAATTGTAATTACTCGGCAAAAGGAGAATTTAAAGCCTAACAAACAAATTAAACCAACATATGATAGACAATTATTAGGTATACTCCTAAGATAGTTGGTCGAGACGAAACTCGGTTAAATACCAACTACTTAGACAGAGTAGCATCGCAAGGGTCTAGTATCAACAAGACTTTTAAGTCAGGGCCATAGAACTAGTATTCCTCCCCAAGAAAGTTTCCTAAGTCATGCGTTCTCATGTTTGAAGTAAAATCGTTTGGAAGATCTAAAGATTGTAGATTCACCTATGGATAAGGCTTTAAATTGATGAACTAAATTAACGGACTAAATGTGCTTAAATTCAGGCACTACCGCAACTAAAGTGGTCAAAGTACATGTGAGGTCCCTGTACTATAGTGTTTTGTTCAATTTAGTCCTTCTACCTTAATTTTGTTCAATTTAGTCCCTGTACTTAAAAAAGTGAAACAATTAAAGACAATAGCTGATATTTATGTATTTATTTTAGACATATTAATGTAATATATTTTTGGTAAAACTAATTAATTTTAACTAATTTTAAAATAATATATGAGTTGGCATGTAAGTATGATGATGTGGCATATATGATGCCAACACCAAATCACCTATTGTCCTTAATTGTTTCACTAAGTACAGGGACTAAATTGAACACAATTAAGGTAGGAGGACTAAATTGAACAAAACACTATAGTACAGGAACCTCATAGATACTTTGACCAACTAAAGTTTATGCATAAGTCTAACTTAATAAAGGAACTAATATAATTCCATCCTAAAGTATGCATTGCTAAAGGCATAATAAAAATTGCATAATTTAAAACAGAATATTATGCTTAGGAAAAAAATGCATAAAATTAAACATTAAACCCATATATCCAAACAAATTGCATAACTTAAAGCAATTTACAATATGAGATTTCAATCATCTTTGAAATTTTAAACTGTAAGTCCATGACAAAATGTAGGTTTTAATGCATAAAGATCAAATTTATGAGAAATAGCTGAATTCACAAATTATAACAATATCAAGCCAAAATGATATGTTGTCATTTGTAAAACAAAATCTCACAAAACCTAATTGCATAATTAAACTCAATATTATGCACTTAATGTGATCAAATGCATAAAACAATCTAAAGAGTATGAAAATATACAAAATATTCATTTATTCATACTTAACCAAATATGGGCAAAAACATTAACCATAATTCAAAGACTGAATGAATTATGGAATAAATGTACAGTAATGACAATAGTCAGTTGCCTAAAAAAAAAAAAATTCTTATCTGAAGCATTGCCACATAAACATAATTGGAAACAATTCAGGATTCATAAATAAAATAATAATAATAATGTTATCATTAAAGTATTAATGGTAATAAGTAACCTTATAATCACCATTAACATTTAATAATAACAATCAAAGTATGGTAATACACATTCTTAATGTTTCCATTTTTCTTAAAGAATCCAAATTAAATGTGACAATTTCAAAATATAGCGGTCAAACTATAATTGTAACACTAATTATAAAAAAAATTAATGATAAAAACTTAGTAACCTTAATGACGCAAACCGCATCTCCCATAGTGCTAAAATTCTTCCATCTTCACTGTAAGTAACCTCAATGCAACGCCCAATGGTACGTAACAATAAACACCAAATAGGTAATCTTTCCAAACATAATAGATTACCAAGCAATAATAATTATTATGAAAAGGTAATAAACGAGATTAGTCCCAAAACTTAATAACAGTAATTAATAATGTCAATTATTAACTATAACAAAAGGTAAAACTGTAATTTTAAGGGGATATTGAATGCCGATCTCATATTACCATATAATAATTAATCAAGACTATAATGTCTTTTAGGGAGACTAAAATTAGAGTAATAATCAAATTACCATTGTAAAAGCAATATACCGACTATATTGTTTAGTATATTATTAAAGGAATTAATACTATTATTAAGGTATGAAAACTATTGATAGGTTAAAAATAGGCAAAAGTGTCAAATATGTCCATCTACTACTGCGAAGTGCTCAATTCCCACCACGAACTAAATTAAGTGTCAAATAGACCCATCTACCAACTAAATTTGTTCAATTGACTTTTTTTACAGGTTGTCTATTTAATTATTAAAATAAATAAATAAAATTAAAAAAAAATTACAAAAATTACAAAAACGGCGGCGTGTACGTGGAACTCCCGGCAAACACGGTAAACCACTCGTCGTCAATGTCAAGCCAGGATCACATTTCATTTACCGATACGCCGCCACGGAAGATCAACTCCACGACGACCCTAACGTCGCCATTTTCTTCAAGCCCACCGCCTTGCACAAAGGCACCACCATGACCTTACACTTCATCAAAACAGCAAACGACGCCACTTTCTTGCCCCGCTCCGAAGCTGAAAAAATCCCATTTTCCTCCCAGAAGATATCCCAGATTCTCAACCAATTCTCCATAGCCCCCGACTCAGAAGAAGCCCAAGTAATGAAACAAACCATCACAGAATGCGAAGAGCCAGTAATCAAGGGAGAAGAGAAACAATATGCCACTTCATTAGAATCCATGGTTGATTTCTCCAAATCCAAGCTGGGGAAGAAGGTCCGGGCAATATCCACCGCGGCCGGTGGCCAAACATCCATGCAAAAATACACCATTTTCGGTGTCGAAAAGATTCAAAACAACGACAAAGCTGTTGTCTGCCACAAGCAAAACTATACATACGTTGTTTTCTACTGCCACAAGACACAGACCACCGAGGCTTACACGGTTTCTCTGGTCAGAGCTAATGGGGCTAAGGTTAAAGCCGCGATCGTTTGTCACAAAGATACTTCGGCTTGGAATCCTAAGCATTTGGCCTTCCAAGTGCTTAAGGTTAAGCCCGGAACTGTGCCCATCTGCCATTTCCTTCCAGAGGATCATATTGTCTGGATTGCTAACTAAGCTAGATCGTCTCGGCTTTCTTGAATGCTTTAGCCATTTTAATGTTTCAAGATGCTCTTTTTTTTTTTTTTTTTTTTTTTTTTTTTTTTTAATTTTATTTATTTATTTTTTAATAATTAAATAGGCAACCTGTAAAAAAAGTCAATTGAACAAATTTAGTTGGTAGATGGGTCAATTTGACACTTAATTTAGTTCATGGTGGGAATTGAGCACTTTGCAGTAGTAGATGTGCCTATTTGACAATTGTGTCTTAAAAATATATAATCAACTTAAACAATAGTTGTAATTCTTAATGGCCAAAATAACAATTGTAATCCTTAAATTCTTAATGGCTCATAAATAGGACCAAGAGTATAATTATAGCACTTAATCACTCAAATTAGACCCATAAACCTCAATGGCCAAAGTGAGTTATGACATGGATATAAAATGATCTAGTACTGAAATATATCCAAACTTAATATTATTACCAACAATGAATATCATTAACAAAATATAGTAGTTAGTAATAATTAAGACTTAATGAACATATTATGCATAATAATCAATATTATTACCATAATAAACATGTTATAAGTCAAATAAAAGAGCTACAAATATTATTAAAAATATCAATCAAAATAGTGGGATCTATACTTTAATGACCCAGATAGGTGCTAAATACCTTGTTCAAATTAGGTTTTAAAGTCCCAAGTGAAAAAATAGGACTAAAGTATGCTCAAAATTAAATGAGAAACCAAACAAGATGTCTTAATAGGCTATAATGTCCAAAATTAGCATAAGGATCCAAATTGAATAATATTTAATATAAAGACTATGAGTTAATAATATGCTATATCCAATGTAAATATATGCTTTTCTAAATGTACAATTATAATAAAATAATTTATGAATATACAAAGCAAGCTTGAATTTTTGCATGTTAATATATTATTAACCCATAAATCCTAAATAAATTGCGAGTAATTTAATATGCACCTCAATATTAAATTAAAATTCAAGTAGCAAATTCAAAACTTAATATTTGGTCAAAATTGAATAATAATTTAATTATGAATTTAATGCCAAAATTAATAAGAAACTAAAGGACATTAATATTTCAAAACAAGCAATTACCATATATATTTATCATTTGCCAAAATGATGTACAATATTAATTAAAGTAATATTAATATTATAATATTAAACTAAATAATTAACATTTACCAAAATTAATATATATAATATTAAATAAGGCAAATATTAATATGCTAAATAAATATAAATGATAATGGTAATTAACCTAGTGGCACAAACATATTTTAATAATGCACCAGGAGCGCAGATTGCCACATGATAATGTTAAGCAAATATTAAACACATGGACTGCGTCTATTACCATTCCATTTTTCTTCTTTCTCAAATAAGGGGGGAGCACAGACTGTCTCATCAGTGCGGCGCCGAGAAAAACAGAAGCAGCATCGCCGGACGAGACCAACCTGAAGGAGGAAGAGAGAGAATAGCGATGGTCGCCGGGAAGCCAGCCACTCCACCGTCTCGCCTCACTGCGCGTTGCCGCCGTCTTGTAGTAGGGCCCAAGCTCCTCGCTTTAACTCCATCCACCGCCATCGTCCACCGTTCGCAACACCAAGTCGCTGTCTCGACAGCGACCGGAGGGGAAAGCCACCGGAAAAAACTGAGAACAGTGAAACCGATCGCCAACGAGTTGCATCTGAAACCAGTGTCTCGACCCTTTTAGTTTTTTTTTTTTGGTCGCCGGCAGAGAGAAAAAAAAAGAAAAACGAGAAAAGAAAATAATCGAAATTAAAATTGATTAGTGCTAAAAGTAATAAATTTCAACAGTCAAAAAAATCATATACAAAAATCTTGATGTATATGAAATTAATGCTGATTTGTAGGCAATACAATCAACCAGACAAAGATTGATAAATTAAAGGCTCTTATATCAAATGTTAGATCTAAATATGATTTAACCATACTGAACAATAATCTACGAAAAACCTAACCCCGTAGTAGCGGAAGCAGAAGTCGTATTGATCTCCAGTCATAGTTGATATCCTGCTGTGTTTGTTAGGAACAAGTGTAATTAGATTTTGATGATACCAATCTTGTTAGGATTGTAGACCCCTCTTTTCAATTTCCTCTTCCTAGAACTTTCATGTTATACGAAAGCAATAACAACTCATTGTGTGATTCGGTCAAGTGGCATACATACACGAATCTGAGTTGTGTTTATTAGTTTAGATCTACGAGAAGAAGTGAAGAAGAAGAGAAGACTGAGAGAACGACACAGACCGAAAGATGGAAGGGTCTTGCACTCGTGTAAATATTAAATGATAAGGAAAATCATTTGATCATTAAAGACAATGAATGAAAAAGACAATATTTCGTGTGACACTCCTGAGACCGATAAGTCTAAGTCAGACTTAAATAGACAAATTTAATACATGAGCAAAGAGAATGTTGTCTATGTCTCACAGTTGGACAATCATTCTAGACAAAAGAAGTCCTAGGAATGATATTCACAAAATCAAAGAGCATTAAATGACTAGTACTTCTTGTCAGAAGAAAAGGACAAAAGCTACAATGTTTTTGACACCAACGGCTACACAGTACAGCCGCATTAAATGCTCCATGCCTAATGGTTTTTACACACGGGTCAATAGGTTTGAAATCCATCTCCCTCCAACGGATGAATTTCTCCTTACCTACAAATACCCCTCTTCATCACTGAAGGAGGCTTGCTGGTTGTTCAACTGATTTCATCAAAAGAAAAGCTCTTCAAATAAGATTATTCAAAAGATTTTCATAAACCAGTGTGTGTGATTGTGAAGTTTTCAAAGAAGCTCATTCAGATTTATTCTTCACAATCATCAAGGAAGTCTTGCATCATTTTTAAGAAGATTCATCCGATCATCAAATCAAGACTTCAAGCAGTTGGAGAAATACATCAAATTCATCCAACACTCAACTCTGAAGAAGAAGTGGATAGAGGCGGAGTAAACTCTAGGAGTTGAGAAACCTTTCAAGTAGCTGTCCGGCTTAGTGACCAAGGAAGCTAGTATAGCTTGAGTAGTTTGTACTAGGAGTGATAGTGCAAGCCCTTTCACAAGTTGTGAAAGAAGAGTGGAGTAGGCTTTGTTGATAGCCGAACCACTATAAAAATCTTTCTCTCCATCTCTCTTTACTTTCATGCAATTATTTATCTGGCATTGCATGCATATTGATCATACAACCTTCGTAACTAACTCGTGCAAAGCTTGTCTTAAAAACATATAAACAATTTTCGTTGTGCATAACTCCGAAAGAAGTTAATCTGAAAAATTGATTAGAGTCTATTCACCCCTCCCTCTCTCTAGACTCTCTTTCAACCCTACCGGGACCAACAATGTTGCCTCTTGAACGGTAGACCTGCAGGTGTTAGCCGTTTTGTCCCATACTTGACTCAGAACCCTAGATGGTGTACTGGTATTTTCTGAGTAGTATGAATACCATAACTTTAATGCTATATAATGAATATATCCTGTATCCCATCAATACAGGCTTTATATAGGCATATTGGTGAAATACAGACTTAAACCTAATGTCCAGTCCAACCAATCACTTAATAGGCATAGTCCACTTGCACCACATAATTAAGGCCCATAATATATAATATATTATACGGGAAAATTTTACAAATAGTACATGATAAGTGCTTATTTGTCTATATTTTTCCTCCTTTCACTAAGCCATTTTGCTTATAGATTATTCCAAATTTCATGAGATTATGATTAAATTGTGTTATTTTGCAAGGAATTCTGTTTGGAAACAATGATGAATATTTTCTGGCATTTTGGTGGACATTGGAGTCAAATGGAGCGTTTTGGATGCATTAAGAGTCCATAGGAGCTAAGGAGAAGCTAAGAGGATGGACAACATACTTCCAAGGGAGCCTAAGAGTGGTGTATTCAATGGTCTACTCATTTCTTTCATATTTTTGTGTTAGATTAGATTTAGAATTAGGTTTCTAAACACATTTCAAGCTTGTAATCAAGGATTCAACACTTGGATTTCAAGATTTACCATCAATTTCTTAGTGAAGTTCTCTTTCCCTTATCTCTTTTCATTTGCAATGTTTATGCTTTACACTTATGTTTTTGTGTTCTTTATGCTATTAAATCATGTGTAATTAGTTTATAGACTTCAGTTAGGGTTGTATTATCTATTTTGATGCTTGATTTGTGATTATTGCAAAAAGGGGAATAACTCTAACCTAGGGTTCATGTGTTTATGAGGATGTTGTGTTTATATCTTGTTAATATTTGATGTACACATTCATTGGCATAGACCCGATTTCTTCCTACGAAAATAGTGGAAATTGGGAGCTTTAGATGCTTTGTGTGTTTGGTGGACTTGGAATTGATGCACCAAGAGAGTAGGGGAATTCCGTGTTCTAATCCTTGATTATCAATCACGAGACACTACTGAAAATTATGAAATTTCCGACCACCTGAAAGTGATATTAAATCAAGTCAAAAGCCTTGTTCCGACCACTTTTGATATCCGGAAAAACCTTTGTTGCTATTTCCGATCACTTTTTGGTATCAACTTGATTTAAGATCACTTTCAGGTGGTCGGAAATTCCATAATTTCCACTAGTGAGAGTGGTTCGTAGACTAGGATACCTACGTGCATTCCCACTTGATTTCTTGGCTTTTTGTTCTCCCTAATCCCATAGGTTGTTGAAGCATCTAGATGATAATGCTCCCTAACTTGAGTCCTATTTCTTTATTTCGTATTTACCTCTTGTTCATATGTATTTTTGGTATTTTGTTTAGTTACCTTAGCCTTACAACTTGTTACAGATTGCTTAGCTTCTTGTGTATTTCCTAGTGTTAGTGCCTAGTTACTTTTGGTTATATACTACGTGTCATAACCTCAATCCCCTGAGAACGACATTGTACCCCGTACACTCACTATCATTCATTTTTGCTACAACAGTACAAAATTACAAATTTGTATAAGGGTCACGTATAATGGGGTCACTACAAGGTTTCAGCTTTTCGCAATCCTTGTTGTTAGGTCATAGAAAG